CAAAAAAAAAAAAGAGAGTGCCAGGAAGGGGAAGGGACCCTCCCGGGGCCCCGGTGGGAGGGCTCCTTGCTCACTCCTGGTCCTCGTCCTCGTCCATCTCCCAGCTGTTCCCCAGCTCCTCCTTGTCCGCTGTTGGGCTGCCATCCGACTTCAGGTTGTCATTGTCACTGTTGCCATCATAGTTTCCACACAAACCACAGAGTTTACCAGAGTAGATGCTGGCGGAATGGGAGAGAAGCTGGCATTAATGGAAAGAGGGAGCCTCGGTCCTTGAGGGGCAGTGGCAGAGAAGGCAAGGAGCTGGCATCCCAAAGCAAAGGGCATGAGGAGGATGAAGAGGTGCAGACTGGACAAGAGGACCCCATGGCCCTCCCCTTAGCCTCCTTCCCCTCTGTTCATTGTCCAGCCACAGCAAACCCCTTGCTGGCCCTAAAACACTCCTGCTTTATTTATTTATTTTTATTTTATTTTATTTTATTTTTTTGAGATGGAGTCTCTGTTACCCAGGCTAGAGGGCAGTGGCACGATCTCAGCTCACTGCAACCTCCGCCTCCCGGGTTCTAGCGATTCTCCTGCCTCAGACTCCTGAGGAGCTGGGATTACAGGCACGCACCACCACGCCCAGCTAATTTTTTATATTTTTAGTATAGACAGGGTTTCACTGTGTTTGCCAGGCTGGTCTTGAACTCCTGACCTCAGATGATCTGCCTGCCTCAGCCTCCCAAAGTGCTGGGATTACAGGTGTTAGCCATCTTGCCTGGCCAAATTTTTAAATTATTTATTTATTTTAGAGATAGGGTCACCCTCTGTGGCTCAGGCTGAAGTGCAGTGATGTGATCAGCTCACTGTAGCCTCCAACTTCTGGGCTCAAATGATCCTCCCCTCAGCCTCCTGAGTAGCTGAGACTACAGGTGCGTACCACCATGACCAGCAAATTTTTTTTAAGAGATAGGATCTCTGGCCGGGCGCGGTGGCTCAAGCCTGTAATCCCAGCACTTTGGGAGGCCGAGGCGGGTGGATCACGAGGTCAAGAGATCGAGACCATCCTGGTCAACATGGTGAAACCCCG